ACCTGCCGCATTCTCTTAGAGGTATGAACAACGCCCACGCATCTTAAATCAGCTCCGAGTGGTTCCGATAGCCCGGAACACCCACGAGGAACATGCGCTTTGCAACACCGCGCATCTCATACGACGCACGACGGTTGAGCTAACCCTCGTCATGTCTATCCATACCCACCAAAACGCGGGGTAGTCCGAGAATTAGCCCGTCTTCCCCAGATCTGGATATCACATAAAGAGTGACACGGCACCAGCACTCTTCATGGCGCGGTGCTCACACACCTTCGTTGACATGTGCGAACGCATATGATCGGCATAGCATTGTCACGTGCTGTAGAGCCGCTTGTGACGTAGCCATGTGCAGTCTCTGTGATCACAGACGGCAGACAGGTCAAGCATGGCGGCACATCGCTGCACGACGGATACTCATCAGCCTCTCAGGACCATCTCGCTGTACACGAGCGTCATGGCAATCCAAATGCTTCTGCCATGTGCTCCTAAGGCAACCAATCAGCCCCGTCAGCCTTGTGCACGGGCCTCGCATCCCCTCAATCAGGCAACCCTTTGCGTGGCGCAATGATCACGAACACCCTCCTGCTACTGATTTCTTGCGACTGCTTCCTTTGGATTCTGTGTAGCGCTCCCAAGCACTCAGTCATTGTACCACACGTTCTCAATACATCGCTATTACTATGGCGACCTTCTCCCTCCTCCCCACCGAGCTCGTGGAGTACATCGTATCCTATCTCGCTCAGCACGACATTTACGCTGTTTGCCGAATCAACAAGAGCCTTTCAGATCTAGCCATACCATTCTTGTACCGGCATGTTGATCTCTTCATACCACCCGGCAACAAACTCCCCAGGATCGATCGCTTCTGCCTAAACATCATCAGCGACAGCCGCAAGGCCAACAATGTCGAGTCAGTCCGCCTGGGACTATCTCCAAGCGAAGATGTCAAACAAGGTCAGCGGTGGCTGGCACCGGACAAGACTTTCGACGACAAGCAGATGTTTCGGAAAGCCATGGTCGCGTTGAGTGATGAGACGTTGGTGGCTGCCGGGGACTATCTGAGAGACGCCATCTACATGCGCGAGTACTCTGCCTATGCAGCGCTTGCCCTTCTCGTCCTTCCCAAACTCCGTCGACTCGACGTAGCAGACTACAAGCAGGCCACCTTCGACCACCTCCACAATGTCCTCCGCAATCTCGACCCCGGAACTCTTTGGAACCGGCGCTATCCATCGCAAGTTCTTCTTGATCGCCTCTCATCCATCAAAGAAGTATCTCTCATGGTTGACCGCAAGACTGGGGTTTGGTATCCAGGAGACAACAATCGCAATCCAATCGGCCACTTTCTGAACATTCCGGGCATTGAGAAACTCGAACTGTTCAATCTAGGCGGGCAGTCGCATGCACATGGTGTGGCTATATCGCACTCACTGATAGCCTTTCCGACAGCTACTAACATCACGACGTTGGTCTTCCGACACTCGGGTGCCTTCAACCGGGGTCTAAAGTCTTTGTTCCAATGCACACCAAAGCTAAGGTCTCTTACGTACGACTCCTACTTCAACGCCCAGGCACAGACTACCCAGCGAGGAGATCTGCTTATGGTAGATGCCTGGAACGAGCACCTCAGACCCCTACAATCCACCCTGGAAGTCCTAGTCCTTACCGCGGAATACTCCGACCCAGACGCCTTCTTCTTCGCCCAACCACGCATCGGCGATAGACTCTGCGGCTTCCTTGATCTCACCGACTTCACCGAACTACATACCCTTGAAGTTGCCTTCCCCTTCCTGACTGGCGACGTCGACTTCTCCATCACCAAGGACATTTATCCCCTGTTCCCGCCAAACCTTCGCCACCTCACGCTACGCCCCGATCTCTCGCACGCCCAACTTCCCTTCCCCTTCGACTCCTCCATCCTACCCAACGGCCTCACCTTCGAAGAGTCAAAACAGGAAGCGCAGTGCCTGATGAACGCCCGAATGGACGTATCCTACATGTTCCAAGCCTCCCTCTCTCTCCTCGACTTCTGGCCAACTCTAGAATCCATGTCTGTCTGGCAGCCTGCCGATCCTTCGCTTGAGTGGTTCGACGGCCAAATCGAAGACTTTGCGACGACTTGTCGGAATAAGAATATCACGGGGAGGCTTCTCAAGCCTATGTTGCTGAGGTGGAAGAAGGCGGAGCATTGGGATTTGGTGAAGGAGACGACGCTTTATGATCGGGGTGATCCGCAGTTGGGTGTCGTGGATAGGTTTTGGAGGGAGGAGTGGGAGGGGAGGCCGCTGGGGATGGGGTGTCAGTATCATTTGAATGCGCTAAGTAAGGGGAAGGTTAAGTTGCGGAGGTAGGATCCTCCTCGACTTTTCCGGAACATACGCATGGCGCATCCTTCTCGCAATTTCTGCCGCCATGCAAAAACAACTTTCTTGGGCAATCCAGTACAGTCCAAGACAAGCGCCCACACAACTTCAATTGCTCTCACGCAAACTTCCGCCACATAAAAGCTCTCCCCCCAACGCACCCCAACACACTACCCATCTCCCAACCACCACCGCTATCACCAAGACAAACGACCATGGCGACCGAATACCACCCCTCTCAATTTACAACACCCTCATATCTCTCCTTGGTCATCCTCGCTCTCTTCATCCTAACCTTTCTTCTGCGTTGCAAGGTGCTCATCAATAAATGCTGGCATGGTCGTGTGGATAAAAAATCCGTCATATTTCCTCTGATGTACGGTATCTGGACGTATGTTGTTGCGAAGGGGATATGGGATATTGCGTGGTTGCAGAGGGATTTGAACATGTGCTTGAGGCCGCCGCCGAGAAACCCGATCACGATGTCTTGGATCCACGATGACGAGTAGGTGGAGAAGGGGCATGTGGGAGGAGAGATGATGGAGAGGATGGAGAGGATGGAGAGGGAGGGGGGCGATGTGTAAGCTTGCGTGGGTGCGAGAGAGACAAAGCAGTGTTCCGTGAATGACAGTCGAAGACAGATTCCGTATTGTATGATACATCAGATCCGCGAGCGCGCGAGGTAGAGTGAGGTAGTGATCACGGTGCTCCATTTTACAAACATACTCATAGTAGTGCACTCCACTTCCTTCGTTACCTTTACCGCCTCGTTTATTCCAGCGCAAACTGAGCTTCAAGTCTTCGCATGCAATAGTACAGTAAGATTGGCACTCAGCTGTAAAGGAGGGTAGGCAAGCGTGGTAATCATAGATGTACGCCTATGTACGAGAAGCCTGTATATTGAAAAGGTCTTAGTAGCGCTGAGAGATGGACATATAAGTCTTGCTCATGTTCTCAGCCTGATATTCCAACAACATGTACCTGATCGTATCCCAACTTGCCCAACTTCCGTAATCACCGGTACTCCTACTTCTCTCAGCCTGTTCGACCACGTATTGCAAAGCGGTGCGGCCAAAATTATCTTCCTCATCTAGATCGATGCCGACGCAATCGCCAAGAAACACCAGAGACTGTTCATCGAGATGGCCATGCATAGCGGCGCGGTACAATACGGTTCTCCCATCACAGTCCCTTGCTGATAGATCAACATCGTACTCGTGGAGGGCTTGCAGGATCTGAACCCCGAAATCGGATCTCATAGTGCACAAATGTCCTAACGTTTGCCCATGACGATCGACCAATGACGCAGTCCCTTTACTCTTGAGAAGTGACCTGCAGATCTCGATGTCGAGTGCCCACGTAGAGGTTTGAATGTATTTCGCCAACGGGGAGGTTCCGGAGTTGTCAAGGGCTGAGCCATCTGCGCCGTGATCAAGTAGCCATTGTACCGTCTTAACCTGCGGTATTTCGCCATGAAATATATGGTGAAGCACATTCTGCCCTTGGTTGTCCCTCGAAGCTATAATATCGACATTTCTCGTGCCTGCTGTCTCAACAATAGCCACTATGATGTCGTGGTGTCCATATCGAGCTGCGCAATGGAGTGAGTTGTGACCATGTTTGTCGACCATTGCCACATTTGCGCCCCCACTGAGTAGAGCTATGACTGATGCGTAATCGCCAGCTGCGATGGCAAGATGCAACGGAGTTTCTTGATTCAAATTGTGACGTGAGGGATCCGCTCCACTCGTTATCAATTTTTGGATCAAAATTTCCTTTCCTGGTTTCCCTGATGGCGTACGGTCCGGTTCATAGGAGATCCTCTCCCGAGCTTGGAGGCATAAGGTTAGATGTAAAGGGGTATTACCGTCCTTGGAAACGGCATTAGGATCGGCTCCACGGTCGAGAAGAAATCTGGTCATCTTGAGAGAGCCTTGCAAGGCTGCGAAGTGCAGGGGAGTATGGCCCGTTACATAATATTGCCGGGTCATGGGTGGGGTTCCTGTTTGACCAGATTTGTAATAGTGTACATCTCTGTTCCATCCCCATTCCGATGGGTAACTCCTGGAGTCAACCGGTACCCCTCTGTCGATAAGGTGTTTTGCGATAGTCTCGTGGCCCCATTTGACACAGTAATGCAGTGGAGTCATGCTAGCCACATCGAATGTGTCTGTTGCAGCGCTATGGTCTTGCAGTATGCTGACCAGTGAAGGTGTACACCGCGCATTATCGACAGCATGATGAATAGCGCCTCTGAAGTCTTTATCCAGACCAACACTGGCACCCGCTTTGAGCAGTAACATGACTGTGGATTCGTATGCGCCTGAGAGAGCGGCATGTAGTGCACTTTGGAAATCCGTACTAGAGGCGTTGACGTCGGCGCCCGCGTCAATTAATAACCCCACCAGTGCACTATGTCCTCCAATTGACGCTGCCTGGATGGCACTGCCATAATAACCACCAGAGACGTTCACGTCAGCACCTTGGTCTAGCAATAACCCCGAAATTTTGGTTAAACCCAATAATGCTGCTGAGTAAAGAGGTGCTTGCTGGTCCCTGTCCGAGCAACTCCATTCCCCCCATGGAAGATCCAAGCTTCGATTATGCAACTCTTTCCAGTTCCTGTATGCAGGATTAAGCATCGAGAACAGACGCATAGCTAGCCGAATCACTTCTTCCGTCTCGTCTCCTGTCTTCTGGACATGCTTGTACCAAGACTCTGCGGAGTACTGAGCGAGCTCAAAGTCGAATTGGTCGAATTCTGGGACGAAATTACGTGGAATTTGGTTCAAGTAAATCAAACAAGCTCTCGCCAGCGCTTCGTGACTCTCTACTTCTTGCATGCTGTACTGCTCCGACGGCCCTTGCTTGATCCTGTCTGATATTAGGTATTCTTGAACCGAGTAATGTGCTAGAGCGATGATCCGCTTGTGCGGCCGCCATCTATTTCCCGTTTCATACGTTGTGATAGCAACCAGACTGGAACAAATGTCCAATGCTTCGAGCGGGTCCACGAGCACTTCGTCACGATCGAAACCCGGTTCGCGAGTGACATCAATAGCAACGGCTTCCGCGATTTCTTCGAGATACAACGGTCTTGTAGAGAAAGTTAGCCACTGCAGGATGCGCTTCGCGTAGACGCAGTCGTCCTCGCTTATGGCAGTGAGAATTCGGTCGTATGTCTGATCTAGCGTTGGCGGTAAAGCGGCAAGTGACTTGCGCAGTGTCGTTAGATTGCGACACCTTGCTAGAGTATCAAGCTGGCATACCGCCCATCGGAACCTGGACTGGAATCAGCTTCAGACATTTAGAGGAATGGTTGATGACACCCACATTCCCCGAGCACCGCGCATCAGTGTAGCTTCAATTTCCTGTACAATGCGGGCGTTCATCTTCCACTTTGCCAGCCTCTTATCCTCACGTAGCCTTTCTTGGACGAAAAGCGATATGTCTTGGTCTACTACATCGCTCTGCAGACAGATGATTTCATCTTTCTTGACGTAATTTTCCAAAGACATCTCGATATCCCGCTCTTTGCGACTGGTTACAAGCAGATGTAACGTGCCAAGCTGCCATCCAAACATTGTTTCGAGCATGTCCATCAGTTGTGGACGTTGTGTACACTCGTCTAGGGCATCAAGAACAACATAGACATGGGTGAACATCCTTATCACTTGCGGTGCCACCTCTAGAAGTGCGTACACTGACGGCGGTTGTCGTCCATTCCCGCAAGACGAGAACAGCGCGTCAACACCCTCGGGTATCATGACCGAATGCTCCAAGAGCTGGCGGAGTAGTGAGCGAAGCATCAATCCTGGATCCCGTTTCTGCGCATCGTTGAAGTCAAAGTAAAAATATACTGTCACCATCCGATCGTCCTCATCGCAGTACTGCTGCAAATGCTCGATGATAGTAGAACTCAGAATCGTCTTGCCGCATCCTGGGATCCCATACAGCCACAGTTTCGACGCTGCACTCAGCTTCCATCTCTTGAAGCCTGCGCCTTCCAGCAGCCAAAGTCCGGTATTAGCTTGCCGCTGCTCGTGCGCTTTGTGGTAGTTAATGGTCGGGTCAGGCGCTAAAAGCCAGCTGCTTATCTTTCTGAGACGCTCTTCACCTTGTATTTCTTTCCTCAGGCGCTTGAAAGCGCTTTCTTTGCCTTCACCATAGATCAAAGGCAGGTGGCAGTCGAATATGCCCAGAAGACAATAGGCCCCGTCTTCTTCACGTGTCGTCTGGCGACTGAGTGCCCAAGATAGCCGTACATCAACGTTGAACGCAGACAAATCACTCCCTGACAGAGCTTCTATGGGTATTCTGGTAACCTCGTGTATAACCTGTTCCATCGACTCTTTATCCCCTAACCAAGCTCCATCTGCAGCAAAGAATTCGACGAGGCGCGGAGCCAAAAGTTCTTGAAGCGTCCAGCCTCGAGTGAACCATCTGCTCGTCTTAAAAGCTGCCTTCCATCTTGAAGATGGTTCGCCGGTCTCGTCCGAGGATTTGCCCTTGACGTCCGTGAGAAACACGTAGCACTTTTGCGAGTTTTGGTACCAGCGGAACATGGAGTTGATCGCCTCTGAAAGCTCCGTGTTATTCGCCTTGTCGATGCAGCAAGTGTCTACCCAGAAATGGTCGATGCCGTCATGCTTTGCCTGTGCTGCACAGAAGCGAATCTTGTCCCAACCCTCTCTTTTCCTTGCTATCGCCTCATTTCTAGCCTCCACATCATTCATACTACCGAGACTTCTGAGATCGTCAAAGGTTACCTCTTGCTCCCCCCAAGTATGTGAGAGGATCGCATAGCGAGGCATGTCCTCGCTGCGAATGATGTCCTTTGTCCATGCGATTCCCCCATCGGTTGTGGTATATAGTAGCCGCATTGCGTCGGTGTAGTCGCATGCGCGAGTGATGGAAGGAACTTTGAAACCCTCCAATTCTCTAGACGGGTTTAGAATAGGCCAGCCGCGCGCGGCGTTTTGTTGATGAGGAAGCGTCGGCGCCCGTATCCAGAACTTCTGCCTGGGTCCTCCTCCCCTGGTTGTTGAATTTGCGCGTCTATAGGCGGAATGATGGGAATGACTTCGGGCTGGTGGCTGGGGTTTGACTGGGCGGCTCCCTCATGCGGGTCGTGAGCATCATGTTTTATAGACTTGTCGCAAACTATGACGGTCGTCTGCTACATTAGAGGGAAAGAGAGAGGGGCTCGCTTCCGAGAGCTGAAGTTTGAGCCTGCATGCATTCTCAGAATCCCAGGCAGAAGGCGCAGCCCGCCTGCAGCGTGACGTCCGCTGAGGAAGGCGGGGCAAGGCTGAGAACACATCATGCGGAAGCGACACGCAAGAGATCAGACAAACTAAAGCGCGTCTGCAGATGTATACAGCATCATGCGCAAGTCGTTGTTTACTTAAGCAGCATATTAGCGCGTTTCTAGTTTAAGAAAGTTAAAGACCTGCTAAGCCTTGTTACGTGTTAGCTAACCTACGTGTGCCTTCTAAGATTATCTTATAAATTATACGCTTCTCTAAGATTCTATACGTTTAACTCTTGCGCTAGCGCTATACTAACGTGCTAGTATAGTACTAAAAACTTTTTAAAGCTACTAAGCTAATTATAGCTTAAAAAATAAAAGTATTAAATACTATAAAACTTTTAAACTAATAAGTAAGCTTAAATATAAATTTCTATAAAGTATCTAAAAGAAAATAGTACTAATATTAGTAATATAGATTTTAGTATTATAATAATATACTATTATTACTTTAACTTTATACTTTACTTACGCTATAATATTACTTTATTATATTAGATATACTATTTAATAGCGCTTATTACGCTTTTTTAACTATATTTAAAATATTTATTATTACTATATCTAGTTTACCTACTTACGTGTTACTTCTTTTATTAATACTTATATTATTACTACTATTCTTTTTCTAGTCTTTAAGCTTATAATATTTTAGTTAAATATATATATTTATGCTATATTTAAAGTATAAGTAAAATAAAGCTTATAATAAGTATAGTAATAATAAGTTAATAGATACTACTAAAGAAACTATAATAAAAGATAATACTAGTAAATAAACTTATTATACTTAGTATTTATATATATAGTAAGTATCTATATAGTATAAGTTAACTTAAGTAGTTAAAGTTCTTTAATAATATAAATAGTTATTTTAGAACTTTATCTACGTATAGATAATAAAGTAGTATATAATAAATAGTATAAGAGCTAGTAGTTATAAAAGATAATAATAAACGCTACTTAAAGTAGTATATACTTTATAGTTAAATTATAGTATCTATAGTAAGAATATACTATTAGCTTATAAATATAAGTTATTATAACTTATAGAAGAGAAGGCGTTTAGTATATTTAAAGCTAGTATAAGTATTAATATAGTTAATTACTATACTACTATATAAGCTATTAAGAAATATATACTTACTTAGTACGCGTTTATTCTTTACTATTTAGAAAATAAAAAATAAGAAAAAGTTTTAAAAAACTATAAAGCGCTATAGTAGTAACTCTACTTTATTACTAGTATAGTGTACTTCTTACGCGTAAAAAAAAAGTTAAATATACTATCTACTTATATTAGTTTTTATTTATAGAAATCTAGCGTACACTAATATATTATTAAGATTCTTACTAGCTTTAGTATATACTATATATACTATTATATTAATAGTAGAATAGATAAGATTAGTTAACTTATATAAGTAAGGTACTCTTTTTATATAACTTCTTCTAGTATATAAACTTCTATAATATTATTAAAACTTCTATAATCTTCTAGAATCTTCTATTTATATATTATTTATTAACTCTAGTAGTAGAGTTAATTATAAGTATAGGTATATAATCTTCTAGCTCTATTCTTATAGCTATATTCTATAGGTCTTTTATTAAAAACTCTCTAGAATAGACTAGAAAGTTAAACACGCTACGCGTATAACTAGTAAGAACTACTAGAGTAGCACTTTCTATTATGCTAGGTATTATTATTATTATTATTATAAGAACTAGAGCCTCTATTATAAGTATAGAAGAGAAGTTTAGTGTAGAAAGTTCTTTGTATTTAGTAGATATATTAGTAGATTAGAAGTATATAGAGGTTAAGAAAGATATAGAATAAAGAGAAGTATTCTCTATATATAAAGTTTTATATAATCTCTTCTAGACTACTATTCTCTATACTATAATTTAACTCTATTACTAACTAAAGTTTACTTACATAGTACTATAGTTTAACACTACCTCTACTATAGTTTTCTATCTACTTCTATAGTTAATAGAAAGGCTTCTATTTAATATTATACTACACTCTACCTTCTACTCTTTCTACTAAGATCTTTCTATTATTACTATTAGTATCTATACTTTAGAAAGCTTATTTCTACGTTAAATTCTAGAATTAAGAATATTTTAATATTTCTATAGTCTAATAGCTTTATAGCTTACCTATTACTACTTCTAAGTCTACTTCTAAGTTTACTAGAAAAGCCTCTATTACTATTACCTCTTATAAGTATATTATTATTATTATTAAAGTACTATATCTATAGTAAACGTTATAGAAAGAGTTTTTTTAATTTCTATAGTTATATATAGTAAGTATAAAGTGTTTAGAAAATATATCTATATTAAGATTACTATATAGAGTTACTAACTATATTTTATTACTCTACTCTATATTAATACTTTACTATAATAGATATAAAATCTTTATATAGTTATTATATATAATAATATTAACTTTATAGATTATAAATAATATAAGTACGCTAGTTATATAGTAAGCTATTAAGCTTTTACTAATATAACTTTTATTATATATAATAAGTTACCTACTAATAAACTTACTTAAGATATATATAATCTATTTATATCTTTTTTTCTCTATAATATTATAACTAGTCTAGTGTTAACTAAAGGTAATAATATTAGGTATTATATATCTAGCTTACTTATTACTAATATAGTCTAACGCTTATATCTAGAGAGCGTAAAGATAGTATTTAATTATAATAGTAACTTTTTCTATCTAGCTTTTTCTATTATTAAATAGTTACTATCTTATATTACTTAGTACTAGTAATTTACTAGTATTCTATAGAATAAGAGTACTATTAAGAGTACGTATACTATATATAAAGATATATTCTTATATTAGTTAGACTTAAAAGCTACTAATAAGCTTAGTAAAGTTAATAACTTTACTTATTACTTTATATTATATTATAGAGACTAGCTTACTACTAACTATATATAGTTTACTTTATAGAAGTAGCGTTGCGTAGAGCTACTATATAATAGATAGTAGTAAATTTAACTACTTTCTATCTAGTTTTACGTCTAGATAAACTTATTAGCTACTATTATTTATACCTATTAGATAGCTAATTTTAGTTTTTACACTATATACTCTTTTATTACTAATATAATATATTAGAACTATTTATATAGTACTAGAGATAATATAAAGTACTACTTAATAGAGCTAGTTATTATCTAGAAGTTTACTTTATAAATTAGAGTACTCTTTTATATAGCTATAAAGAACTATAAACTACTACTAGTTAATACTAAGTAGAATTTCTAGCGTAAAATAGTTAGAAATACTATATTCTACTTATTAGTGCTATAATTTATAAAGCTTATTAAAAATATCTAATCTACTACTTTTATTTTATTAGCTTAGACGTCTTCTAGTCTAAACGTTAACTTCTATACTATATATTAGCTTTTATAAGAGATTAAGCTATTCTTAATACTATACTATATAGTTAAGTATAGTAATATTAGTATACTATAGCGCTTAGTAAATTTTTTTATTATTATATTCTTAGAGGTAAAGTAGTATAACTATAGTAAAGAGATACTATATTATTAATAGTGTCTATTCTTTATAAATACGCCTATTTTCTAGTAGTTAATATTATTATTAAGTTTTATAAACTAGTATAAGTAGTAGTCTATCTTTAAGGCTATTAATCTATATCTTAAGTACTTTAACTATAGTTATAAGCTTAATCTCTATAACTAAAAGAACTTTATATATAACTTTAATATTATATTCTAGTAGTAAGCTCTTTATAACGCGTATCTAAGTAAACTCTATACTAAACTTAAGTATTAGTATAGAGAATCTATATTAGGTAAGTATATAAGTAATAAAGCTATTTATAATATATTCTTTCTTAGTTAGAATCTATTCTTAGATAAGTATACTAGCTATTACACTTCTATTAACGCTAGTAGTAGAATATATAATTCTATAGATATCTAATAAATAGTATAGATAGTTTTAAGGCTAACGTTAATACCTTTAATACTTAGTATATTTATACTCTAACGTCTCTACCTTATAGTATATTAGTAGTAATACCTAGTAATAGTTATAATAAGTTTATTAATATTAGTAAGTACGCTAACTTTACTTATAGTAGCTATAATAGCTAAGTAAATACTACTACTAATAAATATCTATTAACTAGTATTAATTAGCTTAATTTTATATAAGTCTTTAGTTAGTATAGCTATATATAATATACTCTATAAGTTTATAGAAGTTTATAGAAGTATATAGTAGTATATATAAGTTTATAGTATTAATAAAGTTACTATCTACTTACTATATAGTTAAAACTATATTAAGATAGAATTAATATTAAGGCTAGTAGAGGCTATATATAGATCTTGCTAGTATAATTAGCTTAGAACTTTCTATAAGATTACTAGTATTATACTTACTAGAAAGAATTAGCTTAGAAGTTTTTATAAAATTACTAGTATTACTAATTATTCTAGATACGTAAAAGAATAGAAAGTTATACTTAATTTATCTTAACTTATTTAGCTTACGTA